ATTAAATGTATAGAAGAAAATGAAATAAAAAATATAATGAAACATTTAGAATTAGCACTTTATTTGGTATTTATTTATTTATTTTTTAGGTTTTTGCCATAGGGCCTGTGCACTCATCCACTTGAGAGAATTAGAGACAGAGAGAGAGAGAGAAAGTGGAAATTCTGCCCCCCTCCCTCAGGGAGATGGCCACATTGCAATCCCTTCTCCTCCATGCTTCTCTGGGGACTGTGGTCATGCAAGCACATGTGCCCATGGTGATCTTCAAGCTGCTAGGTCTGGGACTCAAACGTGGTTGGCATGTGGGGATATAGTGTTTTAATCACCATGCCACCTGCTTGGCCCTTTTGTATTGTCTTTAAAAGTTTATTTATTTTCTCTGAGAGGGAAAGCGAGCGAGAGAGAGACAGAGAGAAAGGGAGAGGGAGAGAGAGAGAGAGAGAGAGAGAGAGCAAGAGAGCAGGCAGGCATTCCAACAGGATCTTCATGCTGTGATGCACTTTCAGTCTCAGCTTAGCCTGGATCATGGGCACTTCCACACACTTGATGTGCTCAGTGAAGCTCTGGAATGTGGATCTAGGACCCTTTTCATGTGGGTACAGTTGTGTTATTACTGCATCACCACCTGGCTCCAAGAACTTAGCACTTTAAAAGGCATTATTAAGGGAAGAAAATTCACCAAGCCATAGACTCAGTGAAAATATTTACATATAATATATTTGATAAAAGGCCTGTATGTCAAGCCAGCAGGTAGCATGGTGGTTAAGGGTTTAAGTCCCAGACCTGGCAGCTTGCTTTCTCACTTCCTCTCTCTCTCTCTCTCTCACCCTGTCCCTCTCTGGTCAAATTAAAATAAAAAAATAAATAACTCAAGTTAAATAAAATAATTCTTCTTTAAAACAAACAAAGAGAATTGTATGCCAATACTTAAAAACTCTTACAACTTAATTAGAAAACAAATAACCCACTTAATAAATGGGTGAAAGATATGAACAGAAATTTCACCAAGAAAGATAAATAAAAAATAAGGACATGAAAAGTTATTAAATATCACTAGCCATTATTAAAATGAAAATTAAACCCCAAACGAACTGCCACCACACACCCATGAAAATGGCCATAATGAAAGAGTCAAAATTGGGACAGGTAGGTGGTGTTGCAGTTAAGGCACTAGACTCTCACATGGCCAACTGCAGTTTGTGTCCTGGACCTGGAGGCTTGCTTTCTCATTTTTGCTCTCTATCTCTCTGGTAAAATTAAAAAAAAAGAGATGATGAATAAGATTAAATAAAATAATTCTTAAAAAAAATGAGTCGAAGGACTGGCAGGTGTTGTGATGGTTAAGGTGCTGGACTCCCACATGGCTGACTGAGGTTTGAGTCCTGGACCTGGTGGATTGCTTTCTCTCTCTCTCTTTCTCTCTCTCTCTCTCTAGTGTGCACATGTGCCTTATAGCAAATTAAAAATAAAATAAAAAAAGTCAAAATTAAGTGTTGATGAGTATGTTAAAAGACTGTCTTCATATTGCTGGTAGTAAAATAAAATTTTAAAACAGTTGAATTCTGTCAAATATTCAAAGGCCAGTTAATAAGAATACTCTTAAGCTCTTTTGAAAGGAAGAGCTAGAAGGAATACTTCCAAACATATTTTACAAAGCTGGTGTAACTTTGAGACAAATACATCACAAGAAAAAAGTATAGGCCAGTTCCTTTGATGGCTATTGATGCAAAACTTTTCAGAAAAGTATTAGCAAAACAAGTCCAACAACTCATTAAAAAGAGTATATATCGGGGCCAGCAGTTGGCAATAATGGCTATGTTGCTGACTCTCATGTAGCCGACCGCAGTTTGAGTCCCAGACTTGGTGGCTTAAACTCACGCCAGGTGCGTGTGCATGCGTGCCCAAGATCCCAAGAGGAGAAGGGAGGAGAAGGGATTGTGGCGGGGCGAGCCCCTCGGGGGGTGATTTTTCTCTTTCTGTCTCTCTGTTTTTCTCTTTCTGGTGAGCGCATGCACCCTATAGCAAAGACCTTTCCAAATAAATACATACATACATACATACATATACATACAAAGAGTATATACCATGACCAAGCGGGATAGTTTAACATATGCAAATCAAGCAATGTGATACACCATATTAACAAAGTGAAAGATAAAAACCACATGACCATCTCAACTGACAGAATATTTGAAAAAATACAATATCTTTTATTGATAAAAAACTCTAAACAGTCTAGGTCTAGAAGGAAAGATTTTTAACACATTAAAGGCCTTTTATGAAAAACTTATAACTAATGTTATAATAAAAAAAATCAAATAAAGATCCAGTGCAAGACAAGGATGCCTACTCTTAACACTTCTATTTAACTTAGATTGGGAAATACTAGCAACACTAACACACATAAAATGAATTAAAAGGCATCCGAATCTTAAAAAGAAGAGTAAAATTATCTCAATTTGCAGAAGATGTGTTCCTATATATAGAAAACGTAAAAGATTCCACAAAAAACTTTTGGAACTAATAAATAAATTCAGTAAAGTTACAGAGTACAAAATCAGCATGATAAAAATAGCATTTTTACACAATGTCCTAATTGAATAAGGCAAACAAACAATAACACTTATGATAGCATTAAAAATAAACCCTTGGAATAAATTTAACCAAGGAAAAAGATTTGTACACTGTATATTATAAAACATGGATAATAGAAATTGAAGAAGGCACAGATAAATGGGAAAATATCCCATGTTTTTAAAATAAAATAATTAACATTGTTATGATGACCGTCCTACCTGATGCAATACACAGACTTAAGGCAACCCTTACCAAAATTTTAATGATATTCTTTTAGAATGTAGACAAAACAATTCTAAAGTTCATATGGAACAAAAAAACCCAAAAAAAGCTATAATAATTTTGAGGGAAAAAAAGAATTAGAGACATCACACCTCCTGATTTAAAATTACATTACTAAGTTATAATAATCAAAGCAGTATGTTAAGGATAAAAAAAGAGATACATAGTCCAGTGGAATTTTATATATATATATGGTCAACTAATTATTGACAAGGGCACCAAGAGGACACAATGGAGAAAAACATTCTTTCCAATCAATGGTTCTAGGAAAACTGCATTTCCATATACAAAAAAGAAAATAAGAAATTATCTTATACTATATACGAAATCACTCAAAATGGATTAAAGACTTAAATGTAAGACCCAAAACGATAAAACTCCTAGGGGAACTTCTGGACATCAGCCTTGTAATATATTTTTGTATAGCACATCAAAAGTTCAGGTCACAAAAGCAAAAATAAATAAATGGGGCTACATAAAACTAAACAACTTCTCCATAGCAGAGAAAACAATAAGCAAAACCAGATGACAACCTATAGGTTGAAAAATTATTTGCTACTCATATATCTGATAAGAGGTTAACAGTAAAAATTTAAAAAGAACCCATGCAATTCAATAGTGGAAAAACAAATTGCCCAACTAAAAAAATGGGCAAAAAGCCTATATAGACATTTCTCCAAAGAAGACATAGAAATGGCTAACAGGTCTATGAAAAGTAGCACAATCTCATCAATTATCAGGGAAATACAATCAAAACCTCTATGAGATATTCCCTCAGACCTATTAGGATGACTATTATCAAAATGTCAAGGGATTAAAAAATATTGATGAGGGTGTGGAGAAAAGGGTATTCTTGTACACTGTTGGTGGGAATGTAGGTTACTTCAGTCATTATGGAAAACAGTACACAAGTTTCTATAGAAATCAAAAATAGAACTACTATATGACCCAGCAATCTATTTCCAGTGTATATAAGAAAATTAAATTACCATTTTGTAATGCTATCCACACTCCCATGTTCATTGCAACATTATTCATAATAGCAATGATATGGAAACTACCTAA